CGAGAGCTGGCTATGCAAACATGGAAAGAAGCGAACAAATTTGCAAAACAACTCGAAATTCGTGTTGCCTGCGTCTATGGTGGTGTTGGAATATCGGATCAAATTGGCGATCTAAAACGTGGCGCCGAAGTGATTGTTTGTACAGTTGGCCGTCTAACAGACATGCTTGCAGCAAATAAAGGTTTGTTTTGCTTTTTTTTCCCTTTTTTCCCACTTGTTTTTGTAAATTATTGCACTTTTATGCAAATGCAAAAACCCATTTTGACAAGAGATTGTCGATTGTGTATGTATGTGTATTTTTGTGTGTATGTTTGTGTGTGTGTACGTGTGTGTGTGTGCGTGTGTGTGTGAGTGTGCATATGTGTGTGTGCACGCGTGTGTGCGTGCGGCTGTATAAGAATGTTATCACTCACTTTCAATTCCTGAACCAGATAAACCAGGAAGTTAAAATTTTACAGGCATATCTCCACCATACGTATCTCCTGAAATCACTGTTCACGTACAGGCGTTGAAAAAAGCGTATCTCAATTTTTGTGGGAAAACGATTTTGAGAACCAGGCAAAAAAGCTAGAAAGCTGGAATTTTGCACTGATTCCCTGTCTACAGATGAGCTAAAGATTTCAAATTCAGCCATAGTTGGCACTGTGCCAACTGTGGAACTCAACCAGAAAAAATAACGGTAATTTTGCCGGGATATTTATCGCCCACTTGGGAAACAAAGTACCTAAACGGAGTTTCGAATTGCACTTGTGCCATGCCTTAGGGTGCGTCAAAGATAATTCTAATGGATTGACGATGCTGGGTATCGAACAAGCTACAAAGCTGAGATTTCGATTAGGATATTCTATGTTCTGCATTAAATACTGATGAATTTTTATAAGTAATCATTATTTTAAATAAAATGTGATCCGATTTTACCTTCTTTTTTTCTCTAGGCAAAGTAACAAATTTGCGTCGCGTCACATATCTTGTGCTGGACGAAGCAGACAGAATGTTCGACATGGGCTTTGAGCCGCAAGTAATGAAAATTGTGAATAACATACGCCCAGATAGGCAGACTGTTCTCTTCTCAGCTACTTTTCCACGACAGATGGAAGCACTGGCAAGAAAAATTCTGGATAAACCAATTGAAATACAGGTTTTGTTTGGAGATAGTTAGGGTTTTTTTTTTTTAAACCTGCTTTCGATTTCCCAGGCATTTTTGGAATGTCGTTTTTTTTGACGGTAGCAGGAACGTACTTCAACTTTGAATCCGTAGCATTTTTTGGTGTGCAGAACGTAGATTTTTGTGAAATTACACTTAAATTTTCCTGAGTAATTGCTGATTCATTTTATTCGAGCCTTTCCCTCCCCCCTTTTTATTTTGAGGAATTTAAACCTCCTTGAAAAGAGTTTGTCCAGTTTCGCGCTCAACTGCTCAAAATCAATATAAATTTCACGTTTTAGAACGCATATTTTCAATTTTCTGGCATTTCTTAGCGGTTTTTGTTGCCTCTAAAATACCTAAAATCGTAGCTCAGGCGAAGTGATAATATCTTCATCATCTGTGCATTTAACTTCACGTATTTTTTCTATTATTTCAACATGCTAGTTTTTATAGCGTTAATTTTGTCTTCGGCCGGAATTAATTCCTCGTTAGTTTTCCTAAGGAAGACACTGTTTGGTTTTAGAAATTTCATTATACGTTGAACATTACCACTTTGTTTCGAATGTTATCATTTCTGGGCTACGATGAAGGGGTAACTTAACTGGGACATTTACCAAAAAATTTGATAAAATGAGGGTAAAATACCTGACACCCACCTATCTTACCTGTCATAGGGTAGTTTTTTCGGGGAATTTCTCCTCCTTTACTATATTACAAAGGGCAGAGTTACCCGCCATTTTGTTCCAAAAAACATTGGCTTCTTCGTTAATACAAAAGTACTTTGCACTGATTTTTATTTGTTTATTTAGGTTGGAGGAAAAAGCATTGTTTGTGACGACGTCAATCAGAATGTTGTGATTCTGGAAGAACATCAAAAAATGTTAAAATTATTGGAATTACTTGGCGTTTACTGGGAAAATGGCAATGTACTTGTATTTGTGGATAAGCAAGAGAAAGCGGATGATCTGGTGACACAGTTGATGCGAGCTGGCTATAACTGTGCCCCATTGCACGGTGGCATTGATCAGTTCGATCGTGATTCAACAATACTGGATTACAAAGCTGGCCGAATAAAATTACTTGTATGTATTTCTAGTCAGTTTTTTGTCCTGGACATTGGTTGGGGAGAAGTGCTTTTATATCCCAGAGTCAAAGATCACTAAGATTGCAAAATTTTAGCGAGGATAGGGTGTCCAAAGGTTGAACCGGATACCACGGTACTGCATCATAGTAACGCGATTGTTCTAAAAAGGAGCCATAAATCATTATTTGACATATTATGTGACAGTTCATTTTGTCAATAGAACAGTCAAGTTATTCTAAAGCCTAATTTGCTTAGTGCTCGATTTTTCTAGGTGGCCACATCAGTTGCAGCTCGTGGATTAGATGTAAAGAAGTTGATTCTTGTTGTTAATTATGATTGTCCAAACCATTATGAAGATTATGTGCATCGTGTTGGTCGAACAGGACGAGCTGGCAACAAAGGATATGCATATACGTTTATTTTGCCAACCGGTAAATTTTAGAGAAAAAAAAAAATTATTAGTCATCGATATCCCCCTAAAATTTAGTAGCATCGGAGTATCAAATGATTAAAAAAAAAGACAAAAGGCATTACGGGATTAAAAGGCCCTGTGAAGAAAACAAGAAGGGGCCGGAGCAGTGGCCCAATCAGCGAAGGGTATTAGACGGCAGGGATTAATCCTAGTGATTCTGGTGATATATTTACCGGCCCACAGACATCTGAATTATTTGAACTATTGTTGTTTATGTATCTTTACAGGACAGGAACGAATGGCTGGTGAAGTGTGTCGTGCTTTCGAAACGGCTGGCAAGGAGGTACCGGCACAGTTGAAAAAAATGTGGGAAGATTATAAAGCGCAGATGGCGGCCGAGGGCAAAACTGTACATATTGGTGGTTCTGGATTTTCTGGAAGTGGATACAAATATGATCAGGTGAAGCGATTTGGGGATTTTGCTTGCTTAAAATTCATTTAGGGCAATCGAAACTACATACTTATTAACATGTGTATGCACGTATATTTCCCGCAAAATTGGGATCTTTGGGACTATCCTTTTGGATCTTTGGGATCTCTGGGAATTTGGATCTTTGGAAATTTGGATCTTTGGGCATCTTTTCATTCCATAGGATTATCAGTGTGGGATAGGCACCCTTGTGATATAGTGAGGAGCAAACCACTTCCAATTTTTCGTTATTTGTCAAAATTCGATTGTATTCCTCTCCATGATGGGTCAGCAACGCCAAACAAACTGCATATGTTAACGCATAGAAAACTTCAGGCCCCCGTCCTCTTCCAGTCTTCTGGCCAGGGATATTCATTGTTTGTATCTTTAAAATTTTTGAAACACTTGGCATCTCCAAAAAGTAAAGATCGGGCAAGTTATGCAGTTAAAAATGCAAAATTTGTGCTATATGATTTTGCATAAGTGGCAGAATAGGGGAAAATGAAAATAGTCCCCTTTTTCTTGCACATTTTGCGTCGGGTCTAGAGGGGTAAATTTACATCCGGAAGGGAGAGAGAACGGGAGGGAAGAGCCGGGGGGGGGGGGGGGGGGGGGGG